CACACGTTCATCCCTTTTTGACCTTGATGGAACCTGCGTAACCCGAAGCGGTCTCTTTCCGGTTCCACGCCTGTGCCAAGTGGAAGGCACTTCCTTCGAACCGAATTGGAAATACTGCTTTAGCAGCTTGAATTGCTGCTTCCGAACTTGAGCACTATACGCCAAGGTGTTTCATCTCGCAAGTTTCTTTCTAACAATAAGTGCTCAAAGGCTCCTCTATAGTCTCGACGTGTTTCCTTTGCGGAACATCTATGTATGTCCATTTCTTGGTTGCAGACACCACGGGTATAATACAACTGCGCATGATTTCCCAAGTGCTTCGTATGCAGAGAGCGCGACCCGTCGGCGATGAGGCCATGATGTCCATTTTCACATGCCATCTGAAAGTGTATTTGTTTGACATTTGACATTTAACTGCTATGTTCGTGGTGCCTACCTGGATGATTCGCGCAGAATAGCAAGTGTGGAATCGCGGCTCGTCCACTTGTAGAAACTGAGAACCATCTCGTAGCATCGGAATTCTCTCGGTAAATTATGACTGAGCAGTCTTAACTATTGTTCCCTTTCGCGTGTAATACTCCGGTCTGTGAACAGTTGCGTTACGGAATCTTCCATTTCCGCTGTGATACTAATGGAAAACTGGGAAAGAGAACTGTAAAGTAACAGTAACACAGATTCACTACCATTGTCCGCATCGCGGTGTTTGGCTATGATCTCAAAATGAACGTGCTCTGGCTTATTGTAGCGTATATGGAGTCGTGTCTAACATTTTGAACTTTCTAAGGAGCTATTTCCAGTCTTTCAGCTCTACTACCACTCGTCAGCAACTAAAATCAACCTTACAGACAGCTCTAATTCCTCTTTCTTTAGCTACTTTCGAGACTGCATTCATGGCTAAGACTGTACGGACCAATCAGAAATTCGTCTCGTCAGCGAAAAAAAGTTCCAGGTATGGACTGATTTGCGAACCTCAACTTCGCGGTATCTCCGTGATCATCAAACTCCTCGAAACGTCTTCTGCTTCTCTTCCTGCACTGCATGCAACGGCAAATCACTTCGTTTTTACGTTTTGCATTCGATCCCTTGCAGACAAGATGGCATATACCTTACCTGTATTCTTGTGGATAAGAACACTGCGCTTTCCTCACTCACTCATTTGTCGTTCTCTTTTGAAAGGTATATGCGGCTGTTCTTCTCTCTGATTATTTCCGGCTGTAGAAGGTAGGGAGAGACCTCCAGGCAACGACTGTGCGATCTGAAAGTGGCAAGGAGAAACAGGGTTTGGTGGAGTGATCGGATGCACGTAATAGGAGGGAGTTGGTGTGAAGGGAAAAAGTGTGTTTTTCTGTAACGAAATAGTAGAAGTTGTCAGTACGGGTGGCAGCTGTATGTGTCAGTACGGGGAGAGCTGTATAAGGCGCGATCCATGTAGTAGGAAGGTAATGGTGCAGTGGAAAAATTGTGTCGCAGTGCTGAATACAAGAAGAGGAGGTTTGACAAAACCCTGAAATGGGAATAGTGGCATTCAGAAAAGTGGAGGACTCAACGGAATACATGGATGGTTCATTAGAGCCAGGACCTCAGATGGCAGTACAACAAAGTTTGTTGAAACGAACACTTGCTACAAACTTACCTGTTGGCTTGGGAATCTAGTCATGACCTCTGAGGTGCTGAAGTCGGACAGAGGTCGTGCAGGATAATAACGAAGTAATTATGGGGACAAAATAAAGGTGCTAGAAGGTCATTACCTACAACCAACCCGCCGGAAGACAGGCAGTGACATTTTGGCGATAAGCAGGGCTGCATGACATTTTCGTTGTGCCAATTCGACTTAAGCGTCGAGTTGTCATAAATCACCTCGCTAACCACGGAGGGTTTCAATGATTTTTTGGAGCTTTTCGTTACTCAGTTCGGAATAACTGGAATTATTAGGTTGTTGCATAAGTTCTTATACACGACTTTTTTGTAAATATCTCAAAAACGAACCAGCCTGGAGATTAGAGGTATGCACCATCACCATTCACTACTCGACGCCAGCGCTCAGGCAGCTTGTCGATTCCATCCTTCCAGAACGACGGAGGCTGGGACTTGAAGAAGTCGTCGAGCGCCTTTCTGACCTGATCCTTTGTTTCGAACTTTTTTCCGTCCAGATAGCGCTGCAGGTGGCTGAACAGCCAGTAGTCAGAAGGAGCGAGGTCAGGGCTGTAGGGAGGGTGGGCGACCATCAGCCATCCGTACTTCTCCAGCTCGGCCTGGGTCGCCTTTGCAGTGTGAGGTCGGGCGTTGGATCGCGTACCTATAACTTCCAGCACTAACGGCGACCCATGCTTAGCTATGATCATTCGACGGTTGCACGTGGACTTGAAAAGCTTGGTCGATGGGTCCCACATGAACTGTCCGCTTATGACCTCTCGGGAGGGTGACCACCTGCACTTCTCTCTTCACTTTC